ATAAATACACGAACGCACGCACGAACGCACGCACGCACGTACGCACGCACGCACATGCACACAACACGTACGCACGCGCACGCACGCACACACACACACACACACACACACACACACACACACACACACACACACACACACACACACACACAGCCACACACACCACTGCAACATATATATATATATAACACCTCTAAAACGGCCTGTATACAATGATCACTATCAATAATTGCGGGTGTTTATAATAGGATTTATATACGCGGAGCCTCGAGGTGTGCGGATCTTCAACTTGATCACCGACGCCACGGGGAGCGCGTGTTGTTCGAGCGTTCGTTTATGGCGCAGTTAGCACCTTCGGAGCGCGTCACGCGTGAGAGAAAATGGTGCAGGGGCAAGGAGGAACACAGAAGAGAGAGAGAGAGAGAGAGAGAGGGAGTGCGATGGAGAGGGGAAGGAGGAGAAGCAAGCTGAGTAGAGAGAGAGATGAGAGAGAGAGAGAAGGGGGGGGAACGCGCACGCGTTGCGCGAAGATCGTCAGCGGAGAGGGAATTGTGAAAGAGATATAAGATTTGAAGGTGAGACAGGAGATACGTGAGGATATGATTATGATGAGATCTGAGGGGTAGCGAGATGTGAGTATAGGCTACGTACATACGTGAGAGAGAGGAAGAGAGAAAGAGAGAGAGAGAGGGGAATAGCGCGAAGAGCGAGAGAGATAGGGCGATAGCGAGACAGAGTAGAGAGAGAGAGAGAGAGACGACAGCGAGAGCGATGAGTAGCGCTGGGAGAGCGAGAAGATGACATAGCATGAGAGTTTGCGCCGCAAGTTGTTTAATCGCGCCAGAGGTTCTTTGCTTCAGAGTTGTTCCTCTAAAAACTCCTAGCCCGGAACACTATACGTTCCGTCTGTTTGTCTATCTGTCGGTGATCAACTATTCTTACTAAATAGATCTTCATTGTTTCTCACGTCATTGACAACGAAGTGACTAGTCGTCTTTCTAATCATACGCTTAGATTCCGTCGGATGACAGTCAGGCGCTTTGCAGACAGAATTGAGCGCCTGGCGTCTTAGTGCGTCGGGCGGGCTCGGTTGGCCGGACGCGGGCGGGTTGCGGCCGGGCGCACGGGCGGGCGGGCGGGGCGGTGGAGTTAACGTCGTGCCCGTATAGGCGAGAGTGAATCTGGCTAGACCGGCTTGTCGCTGCTGAGTGACATTGGTGATACATGTTCTCTCATTCGCTTCTTCGTAACTCTGCTCGCCGCTTGCCTCTTTTCGGCGTGCGCGCGCTCTCTCTCTCTCTCTCTCTCTCTCTCTCTCTCTCTCTCTCTCTCTCTCTCTCTCTCTCCTCCTCTCTCTCTCTCTCTCTCTCTCTCTCTCTCTCTCTCTCTCTCTCCCCCCTTTCGTTCGAGCTATTTCTTTCCTTCCCTTCTCCCATATTGTCTTGCTTTCTTTCTCGTGTACTCCGCAGTAGACTGGACAGTATATTCTGCATGACAGCTCGCAGCTAGAATGTTCCACAGGACTCGACCGTACATCTCAGAATGCTACCGACAATGTCTGACCCTGTGGCGCTCCTAAGAGTTGTGCGCAATTGTATCACTGAATGCCGGAGCGGTCCCGAAAGACGGTTGAAGTCCGTGGGCATTGTGCGGGCCTGGTTATCCCCCGTAGGATTAAACCGTCTCGAGATTTTTGTAGATAACTGCGAAGAGGCCAGGCTGGCAGGTCAATATGTACGTATCTGTGTGCGCAGGGGTGGAGGGAGGGGGAGACGCGGTGAATTCTTCGGACGGACGTATGCCTAATGCTAGAGTTTTTTTTCGAGACTGTTTTTAAAAGCGCTACGTCGCTAAAATTAACTACTTTTCTTGTATAAAGTTTTTTTTACTATATATATAATTGTATATATATATATCAGGGTGAATAATAACATATTCATTCCCCTGATATATCGCCCCTATGATTATTATTATTAATATCATTGGGGAACAACGATTTTAGTTCGCGATAAAATCGTTTGGAATTACCCTTGTTGGGACGTATAAATGCGTTTTTTGTTCCCAGGCATTTGTTCCCCATTGTGCCAAAGACTGCGTTAATCCGATTCGGGGAACGATGTCTGAGTGCGCAATCTTGCTCGCCGCTAAAGTTCGCTAGTCAAATGTTTTCACTTTCTTTCGCGGGCGATTGTTCGTGACACAGAAATAGAAAGAGGCGCCTTAAAAAATGACTTCACCGTGAATTCCTCGTTTTAAGTAGTTGGAGGGGGGAGGGTTGTGCTGCGTGACACGTGTGTGGTAGCGGCGAAACTTGCACCTGCCACAGTGACATAGTTTCACGCTTCATGTGAGCGTTTGACGCCGTCGCTGCCCTTGAGATGCTCGCAAGATCGATAGTGATGACTTATAGCCTTACCAGCTAAAAATCTCGTGCGCGTGCGCAGTTGTCGTCTGTCTGAATGCGAGCAATGGCTGCTAATAGTTCATTATTTATCGCGACTCGTTCTCGTCTTCGTGGAGCATTCGGGGAGAGAAATTTGTCCGTCTGTAAGAACGAGTGGCAGACGCCGCCAACCTTCGCCTTGTTAAGCCGGTTTCCACACATATTATTTTCTTTCAGTTTTTCTCGTTTTTCTCTTGTTTGCGTAAATGTTATTATTGACGAGTTTCACAGACCTTTTAAAATGTATTTAATTTCAATATGTGAGCATACTATGTAGTTGCCACTCGGTGGGCGCAAAAAATCACAATTTGGGGGTTCACCCCGCGGTCTAACAGTCACGCGCACGTTCCGGAATCAACCGGGCTGTCCGTGCTGGCGCGCTTGGCTATTCCGAATGAGCAGTAAATGTTCAGCAGAACTCTATAAAATTAACAAGCGTAATTTACCGTATAATTAACGGCGTTGCCGTATCGGCATTGCCGTATTGCCGGCATTATGCCGGTATTATCGGCATTGTCGTATCGGCATTGCCGTATAATTAACGGTGTGATTGAGTGAAAAATGTCTACTAACTGCAGTAAACAAGAGTGTCGTTGATCTAGTGCCGCTAAGCACTCTGAATGTTAAGTGTCTTCGTAAATTAATCCTGATATATTTGCTCGTTACGTATACGTGCGTACGTTCTACATGGGGCGAGCATGCATGCACGCGTGATCACCATCGCTTGCAATCGGTGTTACGCATAACTATACATACAACTACACAACTACACAACTACACAACTACACAACTGCGCTCATACATTTGCGGCACGAACCAGCGGTGACGCCTTTATTCAATAAAATGCGTGTACGTAACTTTGATGTTGCTGATGATCATCCGACGGTCTAACAGCAACGCATGTTCTGGGCGAGCGGAGTGGCCGCCGCGCCTGCCCCCCGGCGGCCTGCTCTGCATTTATTTACGTATCGCTGCGCTGTGCTCGCACGTAGGTTCAACTATGACTCCCAACGTTATGATTATTTACCAACATTGACAATTGCCGCCGGCCGTACGCGGAATGCCTCGCTTCTAACCACTTTAGAATTTGAGAAGGCGAAAGAAAAAAGAAAGAAAGAAAGAGAGAGCGCGCGCGAGCGAGAGAGAGGGAGAGATAAAAAAATGCGTGAGCAGGCCTGCACCCCCTCCCCCGCGGCTGGTAGAATGGAGTGGCCCACTCGGTGATCGCGGGCGCACACGGGCGCAAGCGTCGTTATCACTATCTCCTGAAGGGTTATAGAGAGCGCTACCGCCGCCGCCGCACTCACGCGCACTCGCACGCGCACACGCACGCGCACACACACACATCGCTGTGATTTCACCCGTGCCGCGCGGGCGCACATGTTCGGCGATGTTTCCTTAAGGAGCACGGGACGCCGCGGGACGTGGGCCGCTGTTTGTGTACTGGGTCATCTAGAGCAAGCGCAACGACGGCACATGTTCGCCGTAAGCGCACGCGCTCGAGAGAGAGAGCGAGGTCTCACCAACGCCTGCGTGTAGGAAGCAAACTGGCCAGTGCGTGCCTTTAGCGAGCCTCCCTCAACTCACACACGCACTCGGTTAGCAGCCGCGAGAGCGTCACTAGCAGTTGAGGAGCTCGGTGGAAGAGTAGCTGGAGAGCGTCGTGTGCGTGCGCCTGAACACTGTGCCCGGGAGAAGTGCTTCACGCGACGTCAGATGCGATCGGACGAGGAAGAGGAGGAAAAGGAGAAGTAGACTGACGTGTCTTGTGTGTAGAAGTATATAGAAGCTGTCGCAAACGTGGACAAGTCCGGAGCTTTCTCTATTTATCTTTCTTTCTCTCACTCTCTCTCTTTCTCTCCCTCTCTCTTTCTCTCTGCCTCCCTGGATGGTGAATTCGATGAACTAGGATCTTCACACTTGTACTAATAGGCGATTCAGTTTAAAAAAAAGTGCCGATTCTTATTGCGTGTTAATACACCGTGAGAGACTCCCGTCGGAACGCCAATTATCGACTCAGTAATAGCATCGGGGAGTTGTTTTTGTCTGCGCCCTAGCAACCGCGTCCCATCTCTCGTCGAAGACACCAACGTCGAAACAAACACGTCGCCATGTTAGGTTCGATCAACTACCACATGAAGAGTTCGATTCCGATCATAGTCGCCCCGCTGCCCCCGCCGCAGCGGCGCAGCAGGTCGCGGGAGGCGAGCGGGAGTAGCGGATCGAGCAGCGCGAGCAGCGTCGCCGACTACAGCCGCTCGTACAGCAGCGGCTACGAGACCCTGCCGTCGCCCGCCGTGTCGCCGACCAGTCCGCCGCCGCCCACCGTGGCTGCGGCGCCCGCGCCGCGCGGCAGGTCGGGCTACGGAACACTGCCCCCTCCCCCGAAGTCTGCGCTCAATGGGGGAACGAGGTTGGCGAACGGGGACGACAGCGGGCTTCCCTCGCCCGTCGTGGCACCCTCCCGCCCGCTGTCCGCCGACGGTACGCGCGGGAGGTCTGGTCATGCAACTTTTCCGTCGTCGGCGACGCCGACGTCCTTGCCCACCGCGCGTGGCAGACCCGGGTACGGGACGGTCCCGTTTGTAGTGAGGCCGCTGTTTCCCGCGTCTGCTGAGACCGCGGTGCAGTGCGGCAGGTGCGACAGCGATCGCCAGCCGACATCGTGTTTGTCTCCGAGCGAGAGCGATCATCGCGTGTTGTCGCGGTACGGAAAGCTGCCCACCGCATCGAAATCGCCGACCGATTCACCTTTACCCGGGTGCGTCACTGATCAACGGCGATCCCATGATTTGTCGAGCGATATGCATTATCAGTACGGACGCGGTGTCGTGCCACGTACTGACGATGCCAGGTCGGGTAGTATGTTGGGCTGCGCTCCATCCGTTAGTAGTAGCACGTATAGAGGTGGGTACGGGACTCTCCCGTCGGGCAAGGATAGGTCAGATAGGAGAATGGTCGGGGGTATGGTCACTGGCACGTCCCAGGCAATGCAGCGAGTGAATGACCATTCGAGCCGGTTGGCGAGGGAGAAGTTACAGGGAAGTATCCCCGATCGTCGACCGCTAACACGGGAAGGATCACAGGATAGCCTCACCAAGACGCGACCGCTGACACGGGAAAAATCACAGGATATCTTGAACAAGAGTCGACCGCTAACAAGGGAAGGATCGCAGGATAGCTTTACCAAGACGCGACCACTAACACAGGAAGGATCGCAGGATAGCTTTACCAAGACGCGACAGCTAACAAGGGAAGGATCACAGGATAGCCTCAGCAAGACCCACGCGTACGCGAGTCTTCCCCGTTCTCTGTCGAAGGACAGGTCTCGCGAGAGCGTGAACATGCGCTACCTGTCGCTTAGAGATCGTCTGCGAGGAAACAAGACGAGCGTCGGCGATGCGTCGGGCGATTCTGTCGCCCCCGCCGGCAGCGAAGCTGGGGGTGCCCGGGCCAAGGTGCCGACCGAGGCGACCCGAGGCAGGACCGCCACCCGATCGCCTTCCTCGGCGGGCAGCGGGAGAAGCTCGCTGGATGAGTTCCTAGAGAAATATCGCTTCGGCAACGACGAGCCTACGCCGTCGGGCGGTCAGCGGCTGAGCAGAGCTGGAAAGGTGCCAGTCACCCACGGTACGTCACTGCGCGCGCGTCTTACACTCGGGTTGTGTGTGTGTGTGTGTGTGTGTGTGTGTGTGTGCGTGCGTGCGTGCGTGCGTGCGTGCGTGCGTGCGTGCGTGCGTGCGTGCGTGCGTGCGTGCGTGCGTGCGTGTGTGTGCGCGCGGGCGTGTTTGTGTGTATGTCTGCGCGCGGGCGTGTGTGCACGCGTGTATGTGCGTGTGTCGGTTCCATGCGGGTTACTTTCGCGCCAACTATGCGCATTTTCGCTTATCTCTGAATAGGTTCAAGGTCGCAGGTATGCAGGTGAGGTGATGATGATGATGATGATGCGGCCCCCTCCCACTTCTTTGAAATGTAGCCAACGATCATGTTACGGTGTTGCGGGATACATCGTATCGTTGGCTATCGTATTAGGATTTAATTCGACCTCGTTTCTGTGCAACCAAAAGATGCACTTGTCACGGCGGTAATCGCAAGATGGTTAAAACTAATCTTACTGCAGACCAGTCGTCTGTCAATTATATTCCGTAAGTGTGCTTTTACTTTCTGGCACTTTCCGCTGGACCATGTACGAGATCAGCAAGGTTAGGTTGAACCAACTGGAACCGACTGAATGCGGCTGAATGCGCCTTCACTGTTCTGTACTATACAAAATAGTACCGAGCCGAATAAAAAGAAGATAATAGGTGTACTCACGCGAACATGCTCGCGTGAAAATATTTAGCACTCGCCGAAAGAAATGCGTGTATACAAAATCCGTCGCTTTAAATAGATGCTAGAAACGAGAAAAGATGCTATAATTAGAATGAAGTGGTGATACTATAGGGGGAGTGACCGTACCCCACTCGTCTCATACTACACACTATTGAGTCGCCGCTAATGTGGCCCGATGTAATCAATGAATGTGCGTGCGTGCGTGCGTGCGTGCGTGCGTGCGTGCGTGCGTGCGTGCGTGCGTGCGTGCGTGCGTGCGTGAGTGCGTCAGTGCGTGTATAGTAGCCGGGTCGGTGGGGCCAAATAATACTGACCAAATAATTTTCTTAAATAACTCATCGACTAATTAAAGCTGTTATTAAAGCTAAACAGATATATTTGTAATGAGCTTTGTAATGGAACAAATCTTCCGTGTGCTATATAATGTGTTCAGATGTTCAATATTCTATATTCAATGTCTTTTTTTTTCAATCTTTTGAATCTTTTATTCGATATAACGGAGTAACTTTTTTGCAAAAATAAATCTTAAATTCGTATACACGTGCTGCAGAGCTTTCACTCGCGTTATTTAGTTCTAGTAGTTATGTCAAAATGCGTGCCCCCTATATCGACAGGAAATGTCTCCTGGCTGTTTCACCTGGGAAGTTTGTGCTGAAGATTCTTTGTGTGAGTTTATTACTGCTGCGTTGTGGGCCACCTTTACACAGTTCATATATCATCGTGGTGGTTTACTAGCACTCAACGCTGTCTGAATAGACCATAACGCGTTCCCCTGTATTTGTATCGGTGAGCAGTTCTGCTGAAGGTTGGACAGTACTGAAAGTACTTGGGTGACATATGCTAGCCAAGAGTCGTAAATTATGGTTGCTTTGAGTTGAGGCGCTGAGGTCCTATCAAACAAACCTCCCCACCTAGGCACAACAAACCACACAAACCTCGGCGAGAACGGGAATTTTTTTAATTGGGATATCGTATTTCATGAAAATCGGCATCTGTAGGCTTTAAGTAGCAAAGTCGAGTGCTATGTCGTGTCTAGCTGAGCCATGCACATGCCATGCCCCCCCCCCCCTGCTACGGATCTCGTGCTCATATAGCAGCCGGGTAGTTCATGCATGGCAAGCGACCGCCTCGGAAAAAACAATGTTTTGAAAGGTTTCTTGCCCCCGTCTCAATGCCGAGACGCTCATCGCCTTTCTGTGCCCCTCCTCACGCGTGCTGTTGTGACTTGCGCAGTTAGACGACCCCGCAATTGTGGGAGTGCTGTGAACGCGTCCCCCACGTCTGCTCGCATGTACACGTCCGCGAATAGCTGTCGGCGGTGGCGGTCGCTCTCACTGTTGTTTTGCTTGGAAGAATCCTCGCGCTTTTTCGATGTTCGTCGACGGAGTTGTTTATTTTGGCAAAGAATAGGAAAGTGTTTCTTTCTTTATTTTTTTGCCCCACTCTCGTCTGTTTGGCCACTTCTGTCTTTTTTTCTTCTAATCTGAGCTGGTTTGTCCTGGAAGGGAGAGAATAATAGGGGGAGAGGGGGGTTGTAAGCAGCGGATGCTGTATTGTAGCTGATTGCTTGTAGCGCCTCACGTGCTCACTCGTAGATGCAGCCATGCATTCACCCACGCTTAGATGTCGAGCATCTAGCACAGAGGTTACGCAGAATCCAATCGACGGCGTGTGTAAAGGGTTAAGAGCTTCTCTCCTGGCAGAGAGTGCACACCAGCCTTGGACCTGTCTTATCTGGTCTGAGTCGAGTACAGTGACAACCGGTTCGCATGGCGATGGTGCTCCGATGCTCCAGGCTCTTTACTTCGGCTCCTCCTTTTTTACTGCTGCCGTTTGATCAGTGCAGGCGGCGGCAGCAGCAGCTGATCGTGCCGTCGTGTCTGCATGCTGAATGTTGATCGCGCATCTTTCTGTTTTGAAATTGTCCAGGCTCGGGTTATAATTATATCGAATAGCGCGATTGGTTTTTTTCCACGTAATCATTCTCGTGCGTTGTACTTTCGACAGAGCCGAGTAAAGAAATACTGTCTATGTTTTTATACGGAGCGGTAAGGCGGTCGGGGATGTCTGAGAGTGTACAGCTGTGTCTACCATCTTATATTATTAGACTGTTCGAAGTCCTGATTGATACAGTTCTCATTCACAGCCGCATAACTTATCGTACACTTGGTAAAAGTTAACCTTAATGTTTTTTTTTGCGCACGCATGCACGTTCGCACACACATACATATAAACATACAGACGTACATATTCACATACACATACACATACACATACACATACACATACACATACACATACACATACACATACACATACACATACACATACACATACACATACACATACACATACACATACACATACACATACACTACACTTACACATACACATACACATACACATACACAGTGTATGTGTACATACACATACACATACACATACACATACACATACACATACACATACACATATGCATATAGATATACCTATACATATGTATAATATATAATATATAGGCCCCTATATAATATATATATATATATGATATATATACGTCGAATATAAAGCTATGTAAAATAGGTTCGTCCTTGTGTTCTCCATTTACCAGAATCTATAATGTTTTGTGAACCTAACAGCTGCTAGATGTAGCGACGATACGAGCGGTTCCTGACCTCGTTGGCGAGAAACGTGGCGTTCTGTAGCGACTCGCGAGTTCATCGGTAACGACCAAACCAGGAAATGAATAGACATATAGGTGTCAGCGAAAACTACCTGTGTGGACTCGCGAGTCTCATTGAAATGCGATCATTACCTGGTGGTGCATGTGCGAGATCTGTCAGCACACAGGCCACCTTACTGTCATTTAAATGATCTAGTCGCCATTCGCAAATTAGTTTACTGTGTTAATTGCTTGTGTCTGTTTCTCACCGAAGGCGATCGTGAAATCGGCAACGTTGACACCATGAGAGAATTAATGTTCATGTTAATCGATTTTACAGTGATTGTGAGCGAATATATACGCCTTTACGTGATTATATGACAATAAGTAATATTACCATTTTTAATAAATATATCAACACAGTTTTGGTTTCGTTGGCTCTTTATTGATTCATTGCGGCGATATGTCTCCTATTTTGTCATTCCGCTTTATGTTACGCCTTAAACATAGCTCACACACACACACACACACACACACACACACACACACACACACACACACACACACACCATAGCTCCCGCGTTCACCAGTAGCGCGGCAGGCACGCACACAGAAATATCACACGCCACAAGATTTCCACGCGCGCTCGCACGCCCCGTCACACACAGACAAGACTGATTTCTGCAGAACAATGAAATACAACCATCATTCACGTATTCCTTATTTTACAATACATTTTTACCATCGGATATTTATTTGCATTATATATAATTAGAATGAATGAAATATCTTACTAGTAGTTATACGGTTATATTCCTATAAAAAGCTTTTTTATCGACATATAATAAAATATATATATAAATATATAATAAAACACCTCCATGCACACAGAGGTTACACGTGCATCACACAGACACCCGCGAGCGCACTGCCCAACACACACGCAGCGTTACACGACAAACAACAAACACAGACCACACGCACGCACCACACACCCATGCACACACACACAGCAACACACACATGCCACACACACACACACACCACACACACGCATCCACGTTCTCGACACACACACACACACAGGATCACACACACACATCACGCGCGCGCACAACACACACAACACGCGCGCGCGAGCACATAACACACACACACACCACAACACAGGCATGCACACACACACACACACACCGATACCCACGCCACAGACACAAACGCCGCGCGACGCGCCGCAAGCAGGCGTATTACAACGTATAACATACCCGTGATATTCTGCTATTACATCTATATATACATTAGCATTTATTTTTTTTTCATATATTTTCCGTCATCATAAAAAAAGCACTCAATGTAATCTAGTATCGTAAATATTTGTCTACCGTTTCCACAGATGGACATGGGCCGTAATCATAGGCAGCACGCTAGAAAGAACCTCACAGCAAGGTCTAAACGCCATATTGCTCCGTGAGTTTTCTACACCAAGCACCTCTGATGTCCAGACGCGTGATTCACACAGGCACAGCCCACTAAGCGGCTTGCACCTACTATGAGACACGCAAGCACAAGATGCTTTAATACGATTTCTCTTGAGTTCTTCGCCTCTTTCTGACAACTTACAAGGACGATAAATATT